ATAAAAGACGACCTGGGGCGTATGATTTTTTGGGCACTTTCTAGGGAAGCGTCACGCATTCCTTAACACGGCACAATAAAGCCATTACATTAGATATACAACGTTACATGGTCTAAACTCTATAGTGGTTAAAAAAAAGAAACGCTGATGCCGATTGGCTGGAGAAGAGGGTGTCAATAACAACATAAAATGCACTCAATATTATGCGTTTAACCCCCCCCCCCTCCCCACCACCACCAACGACTTAAAGAGCAACACTGTACATACAAATCTGAAAATCCCCTGGCTGTCATGGCAGATTATATATTTTAAATCTCATTAACAATCTGTTTTGGAGTATATTATATGCGAGAATTAAAATAAATAAATACTATATATGTACACTGGAAATATATTTCACATCGGCGATACGAAAAACAAATCAAATATCGCCGTACATACATACTGTGTATCATACCTGCAACTTAATTAACTAAAACACGTAAAGTGACGTCAAATCCTGACATTATTCCGGATTTTCACTCTATTGTGTTCAATCGATTTAAACTGCATTTGTATGTACACGTACCGAACAACAAAACGTCCCCCGGTGAATAGGAACACGCTTGGCTAAACGATCTACAGACATAGCATCACTTGCTTGGTTGGAGTCATTTAAATACGCCACTGATTGCCGGTGATTTCCTTTACAGTGACATTTCATCTGATCACAGTGCACCTGCTCTGGGATGGCCACTAACGCCGGATTGGATTTTGAGTGGAGCTTTTGTCAGTCACTCCGACTTTATTTAACTCAACAAATTAAATTTCAATGCATTTAAAAGCCAAATACTCGATATGAAAGCCCGCCTTTCAAAATAGGATATGATGGCATGATTAAAGAAAACAACCCATAGACTAGTACCACTTAGATTCAGGTCACAGTTTGTATAGATGACATAAAACGAAGTAAATTGGGAGCAGTGTTGCATTGTCCCCAGAGCCGGACTGTAAGGGCTTCATTATTCCATCTTACGCTAACTGAATGTCCATGAAATATATAAATCTGGTTTATTGGTGTAAAATATGCCGAACACATCGAAAATCTAGGAAGTGTCACTTCTTGCAAATTATTATGCACAATATAATCTGCTATTTTTGGAAGCACAATAGTGGTTATTTCGTAGTATGGGGCAAGAATTTATAGCATGTCCTGACATGTACAATGGGGTACTAATGACGTCAGACATCGTGGAAGATTGCGAAATAAAATATTTGTTATGATAGGACGAACAATACCTATCAAAAAAATAGTAACACAAAAGAACGAAACTCGTGAGAAAGTTTACAAAAATCTAATATTATATAATATTTTATTTAATCAATATATACTGTATTGTCGTTTTTAATTAGTATTATTAATTTTATACTTTATAGATATGTTTTGTTATATTCGTATTTATTGAAATCGCTCGCAAAATCCATTTTTTTTATAAAAATGTTTTGTATTCTTTCAAACTTCGCCTTACACTAACGTTTTTTTATTTTGTTATTTTTATGGGCAAAAAACAACGCAGGCTGACCTTTGCATATCATTACCAAACAGTCACATACATGTATAGGTTCCACACCACAATTATAATTTGTATCAAGGTTAAAGGTCACAAGGTGCAATGTCCTCTATTTTGAACTCAACTTATTTGCATGGGAATGTATATTTCGAACTGGTTTATTAAATATGATGCGAGGATAACTAAGTCATGTGTGTTTGGAATAGGGAGAGACTCAGCTCGGTCATCCATAATTACTAGTGTGGTTTCGTCGGTTTCGTTTTGTTACTTCCAACTCGTTTACTATTGGATTTTATAAACCCGGGCAGATATCTCATACTATTGATTCTATTTGCTTTTCACGTGACTACACTAGAAATTAAATTGCAGTGTGATACATGTACATCATGGATACTTGTATTACGTTGTGTGTTTACCTATATCCAACTGTGGTTTGTGGTTTTATACATGTACGGGTGAATGGCGATGTCTCACATCGACCTCGCCCATTCTAATACATTGCTTTGAGCTGAGTTACTATCTTTACCCTTTGTTCCAACGACGTTTTTTAACATTATGTTCGAACTTTTAAAAGACTGATTCACTGAGAGCAAAGGCGTCAATAATACGTTGCATTTTTTGTTTTGCTTGATCTCCCCGGGCCGTGCTTTTGAGGGCATTTACGGTTCACTGCGTGCAAACAGTGGCGTTGGTTGACTTGGATATTTTGGGAGTGTATGAAGTAGTTGTGAGTTGTTAATGGTTGAAATTCCACGCAGTATTGGGTTTTACACCCTGAAAAAAATTAACAATGATCGATACGTGAGCTCAACCACTGATACCATACTGAGGGGGTATATAAATACAGCGCGGATATCATATTACTTAAGTATTCGAATAAAAAGAAAACACTTGCGCATTACCCATCCCAATATGAATCCGATTCTTGACCAAAATAATACAAAAAATTACAAAATGACACCTCGTCAATCAATTTCCTTTGGTGTACCGTTGGGTTCGGGATCAGGGTTGACATCGTAACTGCCGCTGTGTAGTCCGACGTCGTCGTCGCCGATATCAAGATTCTTGTACGTTTTCCGTATTTCGGTATCTAGCCGGCGATTACCGGGAGGGGTCGAGTATGCGTTGTTGTTTGGCAACGAGTTCGGCCGCCTTTCGTTCATTTCCAACGTGGTATTTGAATCCACTTCGGTGCTGTTGTCGAACGTGGCATTGGAACGTCCGTGGCGAAGGTAATCGGAGCTCTCAGGTCCGTATCCTGTAGACCGTAAATTTGGTAAATTGGTGGCGTTACCTGGCGGTGGGCGTCGCCGGTGGTCATGGTCACGTCTGCAGTCGCATAAGCAGTACCACACAGTCCAAATGAGCAGTATGATGACCAATGCCCCGCATATACACCCAACTATTATAGGCCCAAGTGTTTCCATAGTTAGGGTCGTACCCCGTACATACATGAGTGTATATGCACTCTGAGTACCCAACTCATTGGTGACTTCGCACGTAATACGAACTCTACTGTCCTCCATTACTACACTGGGGATAACCAAAACTCTACCTTTATCTTCGAAAGCAAAATGATTAAATCTGTGGTGTGAGTATGTTTGGTCGATCTCGGTGGCGCCAAATAGCCACCGGTATGCGAACATCGTCGGATTGCCATCGGCTATGCAGGTGAAACGTGCAGTGTCTTGTTGCGGGTATTGTGGTTCCACGGGATCGATGGTCACACGGGGTGCATAACGAACGTCGAGTACTATCGAACACGATTCGTTATTAACAGATGCATAACATATGTATTCCACACCGTGATCTTCGTACTTCGCATGGATATCGTACTCAACAGATGAGTATTCCTCCGTTCGGTACAGCGTGCCGATAACTGGACGCCCCCTGTAATTCCATGACAGTGTGTTATTAGGGTTGCCTGACACACAGTAGGCCGTCTCTGTTTTACCCTCGTCGATTGAATTTCTCGGCGACAGAAAACATTGCGGAAACGTCGTCTCCTCGGGTCGAACGACTTCCAGTCTCACGGGGTCTGATCGTGTCGTTGTCCCCATGTCGTACACGGCGCACTGGTAAGATTTGTCGTCACTAGCGTCGGTGTTCTCCACTTTTAGGTCGTATTGTCCACCCGCGGCTCCACCGAGTATACTGTACTTATCAGTGGTGTTCCTGTTCGTCGCCAGCGTGATCTGCTCACCTCCCGGGAATATTTGCCAAAACACACTAAAACTTGGACTTTCGTTGCCGGAAATGGCCACCGTACACTCAATGATCGCAGTCTTCCCCGCCAGCACAGTGGTGGGTTTGGGTGTGACCATAAACGGGTATGCACCAGCACACAGTCTGCTGCTAATCAGAAGAACAGTCAGCGAAAGTACTTTCAGCACCATTTTGATAGTCGGTTGTCAATTGGTATGTTTGGGGGGTATGGTAGCAGCAACAGCGTGCATTACATGGTTCGGTCTACTTCCCAAATATCAGACGTGGCCACTGACACCACGGTTAGCCATTTTGGATCGCACCGTTTTAGCAGTACCACACTCGAATATTTGTTGTGCTACCCACATTGTCAGACAAGAGAATGATCACAGTGAATGGGGTTCCCCGCTGTCGCCGCCAACAGTGAAAGCGCCCTCTATGGTTCGTTTTTGTAATAGATATTTAGCATTATGAAAAAAACTATTGAATATGGTTGTGCCGCAACTCCCGAAATATACATCTCTGTATTTTTCAAATTACACATATTTGATGAAATTATATATTTTTTAATCCAAAGACCAGATAAAAAATACTCGGGTTGTTGGCGATTGGCTCGCTGCCAACTACTTACAATTACGTGCACACAACAACAGCGTGGTGTTAAAACCAAACACACCGCTTATAGACATGTTGTTAACATGAATGTTCAATACAGAGTACTAGTGCACTCTCTGATATCGTTAAAGCCGTTTTCGGTGTAACACTATGGAATTAGATCAAGTTTATACAACACAGAATTCCTCGACTTCCACGCCATCTTCATCAGTTTGTTCATGATCCTCTTAAAAAACGACCGTCACTGCGTTATACCCCAATCGCCAAGCGACTTAGCTAAGAAATATATGGCCTCTAACTTCTTCTTGGTGGCACCAACCAAAAAAATCATTCCGCTCAACTCTTTATATATAGAGCATTTCCTTTGGTCTGGGTTAAGGGGATATCTTGTCTTGTTTTTAGTATTTAGACTCACTTACATTCAAATTACGTCGCGAAACAAACGACAGATTTCGAGTGTCTACAAAGTATAGAGCGGTGTCCCATTATCCCATGATGCAATCCAAGGAAATGAAGTCTTCTCTTTTATCATTTCAAAAATATTTATATTTTAATGGAAAACAAAATAAAAGACTGACCCAGAGAGCACATTCCACAGACAATGTTAATTGTATCTATGGTGAAACCAACAACTCATTAATGATTCGTCTTCCAATCACCGTCTTGTGTTAACATAATTTAAAGGGCGGTTGTCGTCGCGCCACGCATGCGCGAGATATATGGTCTCATATAAACACATATGGCGACTTTTGATGTTGCGCAGATCAACGAGTACAAACTGAGACGTTACCAAGCTTTAATTAATTAGTGCAAGTCGTGCCCAGGCCAAACCTTATATTTGTGATTCCCATTAGAAGAGCGCACTGGATTGTGGGGAAATCAATGTTTATCAACACAAATGTCGCACATGCACGGCGCAACGACTACTCTTTAATTTATTCACAATTAAACTTCTAAAACCCAGTGCGAAACTCGCTGCGATTTCGAAGAGTTAAGCTTGTGCTTATCGGAAGATTTAAAATCACTACGTGTGGATTATTTCCTGGTTAAAAATAGGGAACAGAAACAGAACGGCTTTGTCCCAGTCGCAGGATAAGTCAATATAAATTACGTTCCCAAATAAAAAAAGAGAAGAGGACATAAAAATACCCGAAAAGAACAATCCATTTCTATTAGAAACTCGCCAGTAATTGGTTTCAATTCAATGAACATACGCCTCCATCAAACCTTGTTGGGTTTGGGAAGTGGTGGTTTATGTTCCATTCAGTTATATGAGCCAGTTTCAAAAGAAAGTGGCACTTCTTGCTCCCTCAACGAAGCGTGACTTGTTTTATTATGCGATGTGTTATTTTAGCTAAAGTCACGGCATGCCGCCCTTGTGGTCGTTGGAGAATTCTTTTTTATGCCAGCAGTCAACTAAGCAAATAATTTAGGTAAGAAGTAAAATTTAATACAAATTAATAAAATTTGTTAAACAAAATAAAAACAAAAGAAATTCCTAATACTTCTTGATTATTGACATATGACGGGTGCTACGTGTGAAGATGGTACCACTTCTCGATACTAGTACCCGATGGTACTTCTCGGCTATGATTTTATCATGTAATGTAATAGTAGTTATGTCAGTAATATGTAACAATCGACGCCAAAATATAAATATAATATATTGAATTAAATCAGTTTACAGCAACTCATTTATCGACTAAGTTTTTGATTCCCCCATTTACTACTATGTCAAATGAAAAATTGAATTAACGCGTGAAAAACATTATCCATCGACCATTTTCTAGTAAAAGTGTTTTTAAATTGTTGCAAATATATAGTATAGTTTAGTACGATTTTACTTACATTGTTAAGAATAAGACTAATGACAAACTTTTCTACACTCAAGATATTATCAATATCCTAGCTTTATAGATTTAAATTTGTGATTGTGGAAGATATAATATTCAACGTTTCGGAATTTCATTATTTGGGAGCAAATTGTGCCCCTACCTATCGATTTATTATTTTTATGAAGCATAATTTCTAAATGAATTACTGTAAAATACGAATATACTTTTTTTCCTATATTTTACATTCAACTTGTCAAAAATCATTGAAAATAAATTCCATACAAGACACCCAAAATATCTTTTCAGCAGAAATTAATTCCAGCTAAAATAAAGTATTCTACAGTACCAGTAGTTAAAAACAAAGTACAACAAACTTGGTGATTTCATATTCAGATATGATGATGATATATTGTCCATCGACAATTCCAATTTTGGTGATTATGTTTCAATGATATATCAGTTTAACTTAAGATTAATGATATTACAGGATTTGCTTCATATTTAGATCTGCGCCACGAATTTTTCTTTCTAACCCAGCTTTCTCCCAAACTATGCGACAGAGTGATGTTAATTTTACCACCATCAATTTTCTCACTTTTACACTTTTGCGCTTATCCACGGAGTATATACATTTCCCAGCCTATCCTCGGGAGCGGACATCCAGGCATTTTCACCACCTGGCAACCCTCGCGGTGAAAACAAAGGCCAAACACTCGCAGAAAACTGTACTTTGGGATGGTTGTTGAGACTCCCCTGAACTATGTAACAAGATTACTCCTTCGTATGTAACATATATAAATTTGGTTGTTCAGGATTACTTCAAAGTTGAGTTTGTGTTGTTTTCTTGAATTTTCAACCACAGCAGCGCGCACAGAACCCATAGAAATGCATGTACAGTGATGCGCGTCTTAGCAACGTGGAACGTTTCTTTCCAAGAAGTACTGCCCTCTTCCGTCCAAGCTATCAAACCAAGGAATTTGTAAAGATCGAATAGCCCTAATATTCAATGTGTTTTTATCGCAGGTATAATAAGTTCTATAACATGAGTGATATATGATAACACTGTTACACAGATGGTCTCAGATGACATAGATGTCACATGTCTGATGTATAACAGGTTTCTCACAAAAACAAAACAATTGATCATAGCTTAGAGTGATATATGGCGGCTGTCTCTTATGGAGCAGGATGTACTCACTCTTACATCACTTCGTGATCATAAATCCCGAGTTCCATGTATGGTTCTGTCAATCATTTGACCATGCCTGTGTAATTTGGATGTAGTTCTTTTGTGTTCATAGTTTATGGGTATGTCATTTTCACTTTTCAAATTGTTAGCCTTAAATTTTAGGAATTTAGCGACTGCAAACCAACTGGTTTTGTATCAACGGTCTGATACATTTAGAATGAATTGTCAGCTGGGTGACCATCTTAA